CCAGACATCACATCGGTACCCGCCCCGCTTAGTTGAGAGTTAAGACATTAACTAGACCTGTGCTATGACAACCGAGGTCACTCCCTCCCCCAGGGGTCACAAGCTTTAAGTATCAGTTTGGTCGAGGCCCCAAAACACAAAGACTGTTCGTTTAACAAAACAGGTACTAAAATGTCGCTTCATTCAAGTCACTGATCACAATTTTTTTAGTGAATCAGGCTTGCCCGACGTTCTGATAATCTGTGCGCGGCATCAGAAAATGTCTGCGCGGCATATTTGTAAGTGCTGCGCGGCCGCGCAGCCGCGCAGCTTAGAGGGAACACTGGACTTGAGATAGTGGTTGTAGATTGTGGTTGTTTGAAGTAGTAAATGTCGATAGCTTCGGCTGTTGGTACCACTGGTTGGATGTGTTGGGTGGTGATGGTCTCTTGTCGTGCCTGATGGTTGTTTAGTGGTCGCTAGTTGTGTCTGGTCGTTGTGTTGTGGTCTCTACTTGTGTCTGATGGTTGTGTTGTGGTCTCTACTTGTGTATGGTGGTTGTGTTGTGGTCTCTACGTATGTCTGGTGGTTGTGGTCTCTACTTGTGTATGATGGTTGTGTTGTTGTGTTGTGGTCTCTACTTGTGTCTGGTGGTTGTGTTGTGGTCTCTACATGTGTCTGGTGGTTGTGTTGTGGTCTCTACTTGTGTCTGGTGGTTGTGTTGTGGTCTCTACTTGTGTCCGATGGTTGTGTTGTGGTCTCTACTTGTGTATGATGGTTGTGTTGTTCTGTTGTGGTCTCTACATATGTGTGGTGGTTGTGTTGTGGTCTCTACTTGTGTCCGATGGTTGTGTTGTGGTCTCTACTTGTGTATGATGGTTGTGTTGTTCTGTTGTGGTCTCTACATGTGTCTGATGGTTGTGTAGTGGTCTCTACATATGTGTGGTGGTTGTGTTGTGGTCTCTACTTATGTCTGATGGTTATGTTGTGGTCTCTACTTGTGTCTGATGGTTGTGTTGTGGTCTCTACTTGTGTCTGGTGGTTGTGTTGTGGTCTCTACATATGTGTGGTGGTTGTGTTGTGGTCTCTACTTATGTCTGATGGTTATGTTGTGGTCTCTACTTGTGTCTGATGGTTGTGTTGTTGTGTTGTGGTCTCTACTTGTGTCTGATGGTTGTGTTGTTGTGTTGTGGTCTCTACTTGTGTCTGATGGTTGTGTTGTGGTCTCTACTTGTGTATGATGGTTGTGTTGTGGTCTCTACTTGTGTCCGATGGTTGTGTTGTGGTCTCTACTTGTGTCTGCTGGTCAACACCTAACTTCTGCACGAGGTAGACACCCCGAGTGCCGACAACACACACCTACATCGCCTGCCATCTTTTGTAGTCAGAGTCTCGCCGTATTTGATCTTCGTGCCGTCTGGAGCGCGACAATTCGGACCTGGGACGATCGAAAATATGAAATTACGTCTTAAGTCATTTATATCAGACATTAATACATACTATCTCAAATACCAAAACATTTGTTTTGAATAAAAGTATAACTTATCATTTGAACTTTGACTTATCTCATAACATGTCGATTTATTTATCCCAGTTAACACCTAGATGTACGTTACCAACCTAATAATTTATTAGCATAGAACAGAGGCGTAGCGAGGGGGGGGGGGCGGGGGGTGCGGACCGCACCGGGTGACACCATTTAGGGGGGTGACACCAAGGCAAAAAATAGCAAAATATAGAGAGAAAACTTTGAGGGGGGTGGGGTGGAAATCAAAAATTTGTCCCCGGGAAGGGTCGCTGCGCCTTCTGGGGAGGGGGGGGGTGACACCATTAAGTGCCGCACCGGGTGACACCCGACCTCGCTACGCCACTGGCATAGAACACAGATAAACACCATCCGTCTCCCATACATTCATCATCACTAACTACAGCTTGTTTCAAGACTCAGAAGATTTCAGGGATTCATGTGTGTATGTTGTACATCAACATAAGCTTTATTTATTCGTCATCAAAATGTGTAACTTAATTTCTAATCATTTTTTCTTAACTGTTAATTTCAATCTTAACACTCACGAGTATCTCTAATGACAATGCGATAATATATCAATTAAAATAAAAATAGATGAAACCGATCAGTCAACGACGCTGATGATCTTTAAAAACAAGATTTTTGTTTTTGATGTTAATAAAGGGAGATAATGCACACAAGATGCAAATGATCAGCAGCTTCAACTTTGTAATTAATCCTATGTTACAGAAACAATATCTAGCTGGAACATCATCATCATCTTTATCCTAGTAAAAAGGGATCGCCACAGAAAGATCCCTCCACTTTTTTCGGTCTCCGTCCAGTTTTAGCGTCTTCCTGCGATACCTTCCAGATTCGCAGGAACCAAAATAGGAAGCTGGGACGTAACTAACAATAAACAAAATATAGCTATGGCCCTCAAATCTGTCAACAAAAGAGAGAAAATGCAGTTGTTCGCGTTGATTAAACCCTTACCATTAGGACATGTTTCACAGCATTGTTTGGGTTCCCTGACTGAGTCGATACACGGGGCAAACGGGCAGTCCATGAAGGCCCACACGGCTTGTCTACCTACATCGGTACAGATGTAGCAGGGATCACGGTGATACAAGTTAATGACATCCTGTAATTAACACGGCCGTCGTAATTAAGTTTTTTCCTGAATATTACACAGGCATATATAAGTTTACTGCTCATTAAGTTCTAATAACCTAACACCAACTCACCTTGCAAGCGGCTGTGACACCGTCCCACACCAAACAACCACAAACCAGCAGGACCAGACAGTTTGACTTGCACGTCATCGTCAGGTTTAGAGCTTAACGTCTGCTTGACTGAGGTTCTTATAACCCGCGACAGCGAGTGAACAGTTGCATTTCAGGAATTCACTTAAAAAAGCTAATTAAAAATTATTTAATAATGCTAGGTGTTATGCGGTGCGTTTTGTTTGGGAACTGTTGGGGTTGAATATACCAATTGAACTTAACAAATTTCTGTTTAATTACTTCTACCACATGGCTTTGAGAGTGTTAGTTAATTGATTTTCTGAGTTTCCAAACTGCGTCTAATCACATTATTATACTTCCGTTGTAACCGTGACGTCACAGGTTTACCCAAGATTCCGTGTTACCTGTCAGGTCAGAGTGTTAGCCCACACTTCCGTTTTGTAACACAAGACAAGATTTAAGAGGGTAGGCTACAGGAAAAAAAAAACTTTTTAATTAAAAAGTTTTATTGAGTTATTTGTGTATATCCAAGTTGGGGTACTTAAAGGAACATATTTGCGGGCATCAAGGATTCTTTTGAGAGTATGGTTGTCATGGTAACGGCTGCTATCTTGAAAAAAACAGCCTTTTGTGGAGTTCTAAAATTGTATAAACTCTCATATATACATCGGCTATATAACCATTGATCCTTCTTTTACCAACACTACTAGAGTTGGCACTATACATTTTCAAAATTTGGAATGGCGAAATTCCATCGAAATGAATGTTACATTCACTTCACTTCTAACATCAATGAGATGTTTTTTTTTAATTAAACAGTTCGGCAACGAGTGTTAGTTTGAGGTGTGTGTTAAGTTAATAGATAGATATATGTGGTTTGCAATAGACTTAGAATTAAGTTTGAGTGTATGTTTGGGTTTTTGTTTAAAAATATGCAGGGTAACTGTTTAGGATAAGGGTCAAGTTTAAAGCTAAAATTAGAAACAAGGTTAACATCTTATTTTGCTGTTAGAGTAAGGTTTACATTTAAGTATTTGTTTTAGATTGACTGTAGCAGTGCCATATAAACCAACGTAAAAGTACCGATTCCGCACAATCATTACAAGCCTATATGTAATCTGTTACAAACAAGTATTTGAGTGTCGGAGAAAGTGAAATGAATCGATAACTCGACCTGATGCTCACCTAATGAACATAATAACGCGCGTATAATAGTGCGGAATAGTTTGATAAGAGACAGCCTACCAATTTGGGCAGTACTGTAATTAATTTATTAAAAAATAATTTAATGTCAGATTGCATTGCCTTTTTGTCTTGTCCCACATCCCAACTTTGAAACGAATCCGTCAGCTAGAAGTGCCCGAAATTTGGCTCGGGCGTTTCGATCTAGACAAACATACTGACGACAGACATAGGGAGCCAGTTAAATAAATGCTTGTAAAAATGGAAGTATGCACAATGTCCAGGGGCTAATTACATTACGAAATGTAAACATTTTACAGTACTCGAATGTTATTTAAAAAAAAAACTTTGACGAAATTTATAAATACCTATATGAGATCTGAATGTAACGACCTGTCTATAACAGCTTTAAATGAAATTAAAAACATTTCTATTAAGTAGAAATGGTAATTGATCTGAGAGTTTTATCGCCAGTGTGTCGAGTTTATTTGAGAAAAACAATTTTCGAGGAAACATAACGATCTAGGTCGTGAAAATACACTAAAAAAGTTTGTAATTGTATTTAATCACTTAGACGTGGCCTAGAGGTAGAGCGCTTAACTGCTAATCAGATTTTTTTTTTACTTTCTCGTATACGATGTATAGAGGAAGTATCGTAATCGTGCAGAATTCTATTCTATTTTAAAATGTTTAAGTAATTAAAAATTAATTTAAAGCATGTCTATATTCCGAGTTGCCATTCCCCGTAGTGTTATATAAGAATATTCGAGAAAGTTTAGGGTAGCTCACTACCGGTTTATTTAAATCAGTGTACAAAACACAAGCAAAAGCTGAACATGTGTTTAATTTTTTATTTGGGACAACTCTCACATAATTGAACGAACACATTGCAATGGGCACTGGTAGTAGGAAGTCATTCTGGTGGTGGTGGTGGTGGTGGACGTGATTGGTGGTTGCCTGTTGTGGTTATGCGGTCTGTTACGTGTGGTGTTGGCTGTGTCGTGGTTGTGTGTGGAGGTAGTGTTTTGTAGTTGTGTGTGGTGGTTATGCTTGGCGGTAGTGTGTGGCGGGTTTTTTTTTGGTTGTATTTGGCGTTATGGTAGTGTTTGGCGGCTGTACTAGATGGGTATGTGCGGTGGTTGCGCGTGTTGGTTGTGCCCTGTGGTAGTGTGCAATGGTTGTGGCTGAAGATTGAATCCAATCGAGCACACGTCATTTATGCAATGCTGCAGATAGTATTGAGTCCAGACGACGAATTCCAGCACTCACACAGCACACCATTAGCCATCACCAGGCTCTCTCCAAGTTTAATTAGTCGACCGTCAGGAGCCATACAGTTAAAACCTGCAGAAATTGTTGAATTAGTCGACCGTCAGGAGCCATACAGTTAAAACCTGCAGAAATTGTTGAATTAGTCGACCGTCAGAAGCCATACAGTTAAAACCTGCAGAAATTGTTTAATTAGTCGACCGTCAGAAGCCATACAGTTAAAACCTGCAAAAATTGTTGAATTAGTCGACCGTCAGAAGCCATACAGTTAAAACCTGCAGAAATTGTTGAATTAGTCGACCGTCAGGAGCCATACAGTTAAAACCTGCAGAAATTGTTGAACTTGTCCCACCGTCAGGAGCCATACAGTTAAAACCTGCAGAAATTGTTGAATTAGTCGACCGTCAGGAGCCATACAGTTAAAACCTGCAGAAATTGTTGAATTTGTCGACCGTCAAGAGTCATACAGTTAAAACCTGCAGAAATTGTTGAATTAGTCGACCGTCAGGAGTCATACAGTTAAAACCTGCAGAAATTGTTGAATTAGTCGACCGTCAGAAGCCATACAGTTAAAACCTGCAGAAATTGTTGAATTAGTCGACCGTCAGAAGCCATACAGTTAAAACCTGCAGAAATTGCGTACATCGTATCACTCCCTAATCTCATTTTCAGACTAATGCATAACCTTCTGAGTATACGGAAATAAACACTCAATCACACAATGTTGAAATTCAAGATTAAACATTGTGTAATGTTTGAACCAGAATTGAAACAGCTAATCAACTAAATTGGTGAAAGAAGGGCTATATTTGGTCTTTGTGAATATAACAAAACTCTACATAAGGTCATGTCTTGCGCTTAGCTCCCTGTCGTAAAGCGTTATAATACATTTTTAAAGTGAGAATGTATTAGTATAGCATGTGTAACTTTGCGACGCAAATTATAGTACGCGGCGTTTTATGCGACAGAAAGAAGTGCGCATGTTTTGTTAGTCTTAGTTTTGTCGTGCTTAGGGGAAAAACTATCGTCTCGTCATTCCCTTGGGGGGGGGGGGGGGTCGTCGTTGTGTGCGTGCCCATAGATGAGAGTAAACATTGGTTTAGGGGGTTGAATTGAAAGAGTATCAACTCCATACATGGGATATCTGTGTTAATCGTACATGAAATGAAAACTGGATTGTCAACATGGGGGGGGGGGGGGGGGGAGGGGGGGGAAGAGGGGGTGTCATTGAAACTTTCGGGGGCTCATTCAATTTTACAATGGTAAAAGTATATTTTATTTTCTATCAATTCTCTTTCGTTCGAGGGGTGGGGGGGGGGGTCAACGTAGACGTGATTCGTATGAGTGTGTTTGTGTGTGTGAGTGTGTGTGTGTGAGTGTGTGTGTGTGTGTGTGTGTGTGCAACGCCTGTGGATGTAAACTATCTTCGTGAGCATAAAATTAACCTTTTATACGCAGACATATCTGTAAATATAAAATACCTACTTACACTTTTGCAGTAAACTATCGTTTAAGCTTCAGCTTATAACAAAAAGCTTTCTGCTTGTAAAAAAAAAACAATTTTCTATCGATGAGAACATACCATTAGAACAGACAGGGCAGCACGTATCAGGCGCTGTTACATAGTCGGTGCATGGGGGTGGCAGGCACTCTTCTATAATCCACACGGCGTCTTCCTTCACATCCATACATTTATAACATGGATGGCCCTCGTAACGATTGATTTCATCCTATACATATTACACACACAGAAGAGTATATATATATATATATATATATATATATATATATATATATATATATATATATATTTATATATATATATATATATATATAAAGATTAATTAGATATTTATATAGACATGTAAAGAATACTTCAGCGTGCCCAATATAACACATGAAAGTTAAACTATAACTGACCTTGCATGCGGCTGAGGCACCGTCCAGCACCACACTGACATAGACTAGCAGGACCTGGACCAATAACTTACACGTCATCTTCTCGTTTAGAGCTCTACGTCTGCTTGATGCAGATCCTTATACCCTTGGCATGAGTCACACATTTTAAAAAAAACCTTCCTACTATTGTGTGCTGTTTAATATTATGAAACTGGGATTGACGAGGATTAAATGTTATTTATTATTATCATTTTTTTGTAACAGCTTTTAAGGTAATCATACCAATGTCATTCTAAATTATTGGTTATATATATAAAGCGTTTGTTTAATTAAACTGTTAAATAGAAAATGTATCCAAAGAATGTATTTGATAAAAACATTTATTAAAAAGCAAATTAAAAATACCCCCACCCTCCCCTCTACCTGCAGACTGCTCCTCCTGTAACCCAAACGCTCGCGACGAATCTGCCCTTAGATCAATCTATCACACATTATGCCACTGTCACAATCTCAAATTTCATAATTTCAGCTTTTGTTAAAACACTTTTTACCTTGAAATCAATTTCGCGTTAGACATTTTATTTCATACCTTATTTCTTTAGAAAAATTTAGTTTATACATTTAAATTTTTAAAACATACAACATATTATTTTTAGCTAATGTCAGTCTCTTTAAGTTCTACATATATCGCTGAACATAATGATCGCAAGGCCTGCGGAGAGAGAAAGAGAGAGAGAGAGAGAGAGAGATAGAGAGGGTGAAAGAGAGAGAGAGAGAGAGCGAGAAAGAAAGAGAGAGAGAAGTGCGCACATGGGCTTTTATATAAGGACGAATCAGACATAACCTTTTTTGTGACTGCAAAACAGGAATAGATCTTGCTGTTAGCACTTTGCTTTAAAAGTCGTTAGCTGGTAGTAGCTTTGTTGTTTTAGTGTTGTAGTTTAGTGTTGTAATATTGTTGTAATTTAGTGTTGTAGTTTAGTGTTGTAATAGTGTTGTAATTTAGTGTTGAAGTTTACCAGAATAAACCAGACGTATTAACTGTGACGTCAGAGTATAAACCTAGACAATCACGCCAGCTTTGACGTCAGAGATTATCCCAGATATCCACAGATATCTATATTATTTGTGACGGTTGGGGGGGGGGGGGGGTACGGGAAGCTATTTTTTCTTAAAACCATATTCCTCTGTGTTTTAGCACTAAAATCACAACAAAAGTCCTGTGAACATTTTTACTCGTTTATTTCTTCTTGTTGAAATCCTCAATTTTTACCAGAATTGTCCTTTGCACCGGCGAGTGGTCGGAGTGCATCGAGGGGTTTTGGGATCATCCAGTACCATCTACAGGCAGTCTCCAAACCGTGGGCTGTCCACACACACACGCAATCCCCTTCACCATCTTTCATCATGACCGTCTGCCCAAATTTGATTTGTTCCCCGTCAGGCGACCAACAGCTAAGCCCTGACGAGATATTAAAATAATTGTTTACTTTTTGCTGACACAGTTCTAGCACTCAGCTACTGTAGGACGGTAGAGTGTACACAGTTCTAGCACTCAGCTACTGTAGGACGGTAGAGTGTACACAGTTCTAGCACTCAGCTACTGTAGGACGGTAGAGTGTAGACAGTTCTAGCACTCAGCTACTGTAGGACGGTAGAGTGTAGACAGTTCTAGCACTCAGCTACTGTAGGACGGTAGAGTGTAGACAGTTCTAGCACTCAGCTACTGTAGGACGGTAGAGTGTAGACAGTTCTAGCACTCAGCTACTGTAGGACGGTAGAGTGTACACAGTTCTAGCACTCAGCTACTGTAGGACGGTAGAGTGTACACAGTTCTAGCACTCAGCTACTGTAGGACGGTAGAGTGTAGACAGTTCTAGCACTCAGCTACTGTAGGACGGTAGAGTGTAGACAGTTCTAGCACTCAGCTACTGTAGGACGGTAGAGTGTAGACAGTTCTAGCACTCAGCTACTGTAGGACGGTAGAGTGTAGACAGTTCTAGCACTCAGCTACTGTAGGACGGTAGAGTGTACACAGTTCTAGCACTCAGCTACTGTAGGACGGTAGAGTGTACACAGTTCTAGCACTCAGCTACTGTAGGACGGTAGAGTGTAGACAGTTCTAGCACTCAGCTACTGTAGGACGGTAGAGTGTATGCCTGTTAACCCGGCAGTCTTACAAGTTCGAGGTCTGATGGGTAACCCAACCCACGCTAAAGAAACAAGGCGGCTAAGTATAGTTCTGACCGCACTATTCTTGTTTATGGCGAGGTTGTTCCAGAAGGTGAACTCTACTTCATCTGCCCAAATGTGTCTAGGCAAAAAACGGGAAAAGATGTTGAACATTTGGATAAATGAATGAATTTGAAGAAAGGTACACAACATCTATTTATCCCACACCTAACACCCCCAAACTCACTCCTAACAAACACCAAACTCACTCCTAACATCACCAAACTCACTCCTAACACCCCCAATCTCACCCCTAACACCCCCAAACTCACTCCTAACACTCCAAACTCACCCCTAACCCAACAAAAACACCCCCAAACTCACCCTTAACACCACCAAACTCACTCCTAACACCCTTAAACTCACCCCTAACCCACCCATAACACCCCCAAACTCATCCCCAACACCCTCAAACTCACCCCTAACACACTCAAACTCACCCCTAACCCACCCATAACACCTCTAACTCACCAATAACACCCCCAAACTCACCCCTAACACCCCCAAACTCACCCCTAACACCCCCAAACTTACCTCTAACACCCCCAAACTCAACCCTAACACCCCCAAACTCACCCCTAACACCCATAAACTCACCCCTTACCCACCCATAACATCCCCAAACTCACCCCTAACACCCCTAACCCAACCATAACACCCTCAAACTTACCTCTAACACCCCCAAACTCATCCCTATTACCCCCAAACTCACCCCTAACACCCCCTAACTCACCCTAAACACCCCCAAACTCACCCCTAACATCCATAAACTCCCCCTTTACCCACCCATAACACCCCGAAACTCACCCCTAACACCCCTAACCCAGCCATAACACCCCAAACTCACCCCTAACACCCCCAAACTCAACCATAACAACCCCAAACTCACACCTAACACCCCCAAAATCACCCTTATTAACCCCAAACTCACCCCTAACACCACCAAACTCAAACACCCCCTAACTCACCCTAAACACCCCCAAACTCACCCCTAACATCCATAAACTCCCCCTTTACCCACCCATAACACCCCGAAACTCACCCCTAACACCCCTAACCCACCCACAACACCCCAAACTCACCGCTAACACCCCTAACCCAACCATAACACCCCCAAACTCACCCCTAACACCCACAAACTTACCTCTAACACCCCCAAACTCAACCCTAACACCCCCAAACTCACCCCTAACGCCCATAAACTCACCCCTTACCCACCCAAAACACCCCCAAACTCACCCCTAACACCCCTAACCCAACCATAACACCCCCAAACTCAACCATAACACCCCCAAACTCACACCTAACACCCCCAAACTCACCCCTATTACCCCCAAACTCACCCCTAACACCCCCAAACTCACCCTTAACACCCCCTAACTCACCCCAAACACCCCCAAACTCACCCCTAACATCCATAAACTCACCCTTTACCCACCCATAACACCCCGAAACTCACCCCTAACACCCCTAACCCACCCATAACACCCCAAACTCACCCCTAACACCCCTAACCCAACCATAACACCCCCAAACTCAACCATAACACCCCCAAAATCAAGCCTAACACCCCAAACTCACCCCTAACACCCATAAACTCACCCCTTACCCACCCATAACACCCCGAAACTCACCCCTAACACCCCTAACCCACCCATAACACCCACAAACTCAACCATTACACCCCCAAACTCAACCATTACACAACCAAACTCACCCCTAACACCCCCAAACTCACCCCTAACAACCCCAAACTCAACCCTAACACCCCCGAACTCACCCCTAATGCCCCCAAACAAACATATCACACCTCACTACCCACCTACACCAGCTCCACACCTCGTTTGAAACTTTTCATCTCCTATGTATATGCGCTTTATGTGTTCATTGGAGGTAATCTTTTAAACAAAGCAATCAATGTTTTGTGCCCAAACATAATTTCAAAGTATCTGATATAACTCTAGTTTGTGTGTAGATGTGGGCGTGAGAAATTTTATGTGATAATTAAGTTGCTAAAATGAAAATATCTGGCCAAGCTTAATACTTCCTAGTACAGTTTTGAAATTTGAAAGCGGGCTAATCTATTTCAACGTGTTAAATTTTACCAAGGAAACAAATATGTTGTTGATGTCAATACACATTTGAAGTTGATGTCAATACACACTTGTAGTTGATGTCAATACACATTTGTAGTTGATGTCAATACACATTTGAAGTTGATGTCAATACACATTTGAAGTTGATGTCAATACACATTTAAAGTTGATGTCAATACACATTTGAAGTTGATGTCAATACACATTTGTATTTGATGTCAATACACATTTGTAGTTGATGTCAATACACATTTGTAGTTGATGTCAATACACATTTGTAGTTGATGTTGTTGATGTCAATACACATTTGTAGTTGATGTCAATACACATTTGTAGTTGATGTCAATACACATTTGAAGTTGATGTCAATACACATTTAAAGTTGATGTCAATACACATTTGAAGTTGATATCAATACACATTTGAAGTTGATGTCAATACACATGTGTAGTTGATGTCAATACACATTTGTAGTTGATGTTGTTGATGTCAATACACATTTGAAGTTGATGTCAATACACATGTGTAGCTGATGATAACCTACCATTGGGGCACACAGGGCAGCATTTGTCTGGCTCCGTGATGGAGTCAGTGCAGGGAGCCGGGGCGCACATTGACGCAATCCACATGGCTCTACCGTGAAAGTCATGACATTCGTAGCAAGGACCATATTGATCGGCCTCACTCTGTAACACAACAGGTGTTCATACAGGCGTATGTGTATGTGATAATTGATAGGCAGGCTTATGTTGTATATGTGATGCTTTGGTGTACGTGCGTATGGGTATTCGTAGGTTTGATATACAGGCTAAAGGTGCCAATGTGAACGTTTGCTATTCAGGCTTAAGTTAACTTGTGTATGGTTTGGTTTATTATACAGGCTAAAGTTGCGTTTATGGTGGTTTAGTATTTAGGATAAAGTTGTGTTGATAAAGATTTTAATATTCAGGATAAAAATATACATGGGATGGTTTATTATAAAGGGTAAAGTATTGTATATCAATCTTAAGTTACAGGTTTGTTTAAGTTGTATATGTGATGGTTTATCATACTGGCTAAAGGTTTAAATTTCAGGCTGTAGTTGTGTATGTATGACGTGTCAACAGTCTAGTGCTGTGAATGTAATGACTTATTATAACGGCTAAAATGTATGTGATGACTTATTATTAAGGCTAAAATATATGTGATGACTTATTATAAAGACTAAACCACTGACCTTGCAGTCCCCTGAGACCCCGTTCAACAAGAAACCAGCACAGGCCAACAGGACCAGGATCGCAGCTTTACAGGTCATCTTCACGTCTGGGGCTTTACATCTACTTGTGCCACGTTCTTTTGCCCTTGACCCAAAGGTCAAAGCTTAATGACAGAGGTTATTTTTAACCTGAGATTAGAGACGTTATTGCAAGACATGCGTGATGCTCGTGATAGACTGCACAACGGTACATGCACACGCACACACACACACTTTTGTCTGAATTGCAGACGCCAATAAACAGATAAAAAGTTAGGATTTACATTGATGGCTATTTGATATAATATTATGTAAAGGCGTGGTTGCCTCGTAGAGCACAGGGTTACATACCTGAGTGTCTTTGGTTCGGACCCTGGGCTTGTGTATTTGTTAAGTTCATTAGTTGTAGCACTAATTACGACATTACACTTTTGGTAGGTCCAGTATCGTGTGATATCTTTTGGTGGGCCCAACATGGTGTGACGTCATTTGGTGGACCCAACATGGTGTGACGTCATTTGGTGGGCCCAACATGGTGTGACGTCCTTTGATTGTGTGACCGGCTGTCTTGTCGACCAGCACCTTCCAGGTATGTCACATTCAGGTGTGTCACATTACAGGTGTGTCACATTCCAGGTGTGTCACATTCTAGGTGTGTCACATTCCAGGTGTGTCACACTACAGGTTTGTCACATTACAGGTGTGTCACATTACAGGTGTGTCACATTACAGGTGTGTCACATTACAGGTGTGTCACATTACAGGTAAGTCTCTTAACTTTTAACACTTCAGGTCAAATCCGACGTCATGGTATTTAATGTACGTGACAGACGTCGCAAGTTAAAACGATGAAAAGACCGACAGAAAGATAAAAAGGTAGAAAAGTTAGAAAGAAAGAAATTTATATTTAAAATTAGACACAAATTTTTAGACACGAATTTAGACGCAAATTTAGACACAAATTTAATCACACATTTAGATCGGAATTTAAACAAAGATGTAGACTGAAATGTGAGGTTAAATTAATTACTTGTTCAAACAGAAATGTGCTAATGATATATTAACAACAATCGACTTAGTTAGGGTTATTTATTAAATCCAAGAAAAATAAGTTTTCAACATTTGAAGATCGATTACTTGTCTGGCTGGCTTGGTGGTTCTTTAGGGGCTTTTTCTGAATGGGAAAAATTGAAACTTTAAAATATAAAACTTTTTATTTAAAACATTTGTTTTTCTCTTTGGAGTCAATAATTTAGAAGTTCAAAGCGTTCTATATATCTTATAGTGTACTAGCCGTCCCGGCCAGGCCATGCTCTGGCTTCTGTGAAAAACCTTTCTGTTAAAGACCATTATCTGTGTGTTTAGTAATCATCATGAATCCGGCATTGCCCACCCAAACCACAACCAACCAAAACCAAAACAACAAAACGCAAACATAACGCTAACACAATTACAAATACAAACGAAAACAAAAACCTAACAACAAACCCAACCACACCCACAAACACCAATACAAACACAAAGAAAAAACAAACAAAAAAGCAAAGAAAACAAAACCTAACAACAAACCCAACCGCAACCACAAAGACCAATACGAACACAAAGAAAAAAACAAACGAAAAAGCAAACGAAAACAAACCAAATCCAAACGCAAACCCAACCACAAACACAAATACAAACACAAACCTAAAGAAAAAACACAAACGAAAACGAAAAAAGAAAGAACAAAAACGAACCAAATCAAAACTCAACCACTAACGCAAACCCAACCTAAACACAAAAAAAAACACTAACGCGAACATAAACGCAAAGTGCTCACAGTCTAGCCCTGGGTGTAATCGCCTGTTTCAGCTTAATAAACGACTATAGTACCCCAACTTATTCATAGTCTTTTGCACTCACTTTAACGAACGTAAGCGCTAAACCGAACACGGGAGGCCCGGGGCCCCAAATAGCACCCAGTCTGGGCGCCAGATGACGCACCATGACGTAACCGCCTTATTCAACTTAGTAAACGACTTTAGTACATAACTTATTCATAGTCTTTTGAACTCACGCGAATGTAGGTACCATAGCGTACACGGGAAGGCCCGGGGCGCCAAAATAGCACCCTTGTCGGGGTGCCGGAGGACGCCCGGATTTGATTCACTTATAGACTATAGTAAACATTTTTTATCCATATTCTATCGCACTGTTTAAAACAAAATTATGCAGCATAGCGCTCGCATGATAGACCAGGGTGCCTAATCGAACCGTGCAGGGGCGCCGGCGGACGCGCCTATTTAAATTTAGTGAACACAATTAAAATACTCCAAGCTTATCCGTAAATGGAAAGAAATAAACATATTGGATTTTTAGGACCTGGCTTATTAAATGTTATTGATTTTTAAAAATAATTATTGAACAGTATGTTCAGTGTATAGAATAAATAAAAGGCAGTATTAAAAGTACATAAAATGAAAATTGACAAGATGACAAGAAAAATTCAAGAAGGACAATCTTACGTAGGACTCACTCTCGTCTAGGACACACGCTCATGTAGGACACACAATCATGTAGGACACACACTCATGTAGGACACACGCTCATGTAGGACACACACTCATGTAGGACACACGCTTATGTAGGACACACACACTCATGTTGGACACACACATTCATGTAGGACACACACGCTCATGAAGGACACACACATTCATGTAGGACACACACGCTCATGTAGGACACACACACTCATGTAGGACACACTCATGTAGGACACACACTCATGTAGGACACACGCTTATGTAGGACACACACACTCATGTAGGACACACACATTCATGTAGGACACACACTCATGTAGGACACACACATTTGGGACACACAAACTCATGTAGGACACACACACTCATGTAGGACACACACATGTGGGACACACAAACTCATGTAGGACACACACACTCATGTAGGACACACACACTCAAGTAGGACACACGTTCATGTAGGACATGCACATCTAGGACACACACACGTAAAACACAATCATATAGGACACACTACAACTGTAGACTCACCTGGAGGACACACACCACAACACTGACCCTCCTCCTTGACCGCGGACTCACACTCCACAGCTGGACACGGCATCTCCGCACAACTCCACTTACCCTCCTCACACAAGCAGGCGACACAAGGGTTCCATAAACTCTCGTTCTCTACATCCTGTTAGATCATTGTGGCCTGTTAATTCATATTACCTTTTGACACTCCTTAGTAATGCTGATTTTTTTTAAATTTAAATAAGCTTGTTAATTATGCTAGATTTTATATTTGGAGTCTGATCAACGCCGATTAAAAATAAAATTCATAGTTCCTGTGAAGATTAAAACTAAGAAAACTATCACGCCACTGAAAGCATTAGAAATCCGGTTGTTGAACAAAACTAATCAAAAGATATTACCTCACCCTTTAATGATGTTGAACGCATTAACGCTAAGGTCTTTTTGAATGTCGTTACGTTTTTTGCCAATTTTCCCATATTTGCCAACACCCCCCCCCTCACACACACAGCTTCACCCACACACCGAGAATCCTATACATGTCAGTATATAGTGTTATTTGTATTAGTTATGTATTTTTGTGGTTAAGATAATTAAAAATTTCGTCAGTAACATAAAACACCTGCATTTGTTCAGACTACACTAGTACACGTAAACAAACGTAAACAACCGTAAACAAACACTACTCACATCGCAGATAGCTGGTGTTGTGGGTTCGGGGTCAACGAAGTACTCGGCTGGTGTTGTTGACTGGACCTCATGGGTGTAGAAATCCGTGGGTAGAACAGATGTATATGCTACAGAAAATTTATACAGTTTGTATTATAACCAACTATATGTAATTATGTATATGCATATATATATATATATATATATATATATATATATATATATATATATATATATATATATATATATATATATATATATATATATATATATATATATGTCCCTATGTATTCAATAATTATGTCCCAGCCTTGACTGACGTGTGTACAACTCACCATCAGGACACACACTCATGTGTACACAACTCGCCATCATGACACACACTCATGTGTACACAACTCACCATCAGGACACACACTCATTTGTACACAACTCACCATCAGGACACACACTCATGTGTACACAACTCACCATCAGGACACACAGTCAAGTGTACACAACTCACCAACAGGACACACACTCATGTGTACACAACTCACCATCAGGACACACATTCATGTGTACACAACTCACCATCAGGACACACAGTCATGTGTACACAACTCACCATCAGGACACACACTCATGTGTATACAACTCACCATCAGGACACGCACTCATACATACACAACTCACCATCAGGACATACACTCATGTGTAGACAACTCACCATCAGGACACACACTCATGTGTACACAACTCACCATCAGGACACACACTCATGTGTACACAACTCACCATCAAGATCACAGTCATGTGTACACAACACACCATCAGGACACACACTCATATGTACACAACACACCATCAGGACACACACTCATGTGTACACAACTCACCATCAGGACATACACTCATGTGTACACAACTCACCATCAGGACACACACGCATGTGTACACAACTCACCATCAGGCCACACACTCATGTGTACACAACTCACCATCAGGACACACACTCATGTGTACACAACTCACCATCAGGACACACACTCATGTGTACACAACTCACCATCAAGACACACAGTCATGTGTACACAACACACCATCAGGACACACACTCATGTGTACACAACTTACCATCAGGACACACACTCATGTGTACACAACTCACCTTCAGGACACACACTCATGTGTACACAACTTACCATCAGGACACACACTCATGTGTACACAACTCAACATTAGGACACACAGTCATGTGTACACAACTCACCATCAGGACACACACTCATGTGCACACAACTCACCATCAGGACACACACTCATGTGTACACAACTCACCATCAGGACACACACTCATGTGTACACAACTCACCATCAGGACATACACCACAACATTGACCTGGTTGACGTACAGGGTCAGGACAAGATGGCTGCGCGCAGTCCATGTACACACACTCGTACTGTCCGTTGGTACATTGACAAAACTGGCAGGCATCGGTTAGACTGGGGTTCTCTTCTGCCTGTACAACGGATGGTATGTTAACAAGGTCAAGGCTACACAGCTGATATTTCAACCCTACGTTGTCATGTCAAGTTTAAATTTAGTTGAAATTGAATGTGTACAGTATTCTATCAAGTCTATAATTAGTTGATATTTTACCTTACAATATCATTTCGTCTAGATTTGAATGGGAAAAGTATAAAAATGATTTTAAATTTATAATTGCTAGAAGGTCATTGAAAATCAAGGAACAAGAAATAGCTCCGTGTTGGTTTAGATTGTAATTTATATATTTTTTTCTTGTGGTGTGAACTCGCATTTCAAGCCGTGGTTGTTATAAGTGCTAAAGCAATAACATATTTTTAAAACTAAAGCGAGGGGGTCTTCATTAAACTTTCCCAAATTTTCTTACACGAGATAAATTGCCCGTTCAGGGAGAATTACAACGAGCGCTAGGTTGATAATGTTGTCTCAACACCCCAACTTCAGATTTAACCGAAAAGGAAAAAAAATTAAAATGGATTTTTATTTAGAATCGGCATTTTAATCGTATTTTTAGCTTGATCTACACATAGTTGCTGCACATAGATACTAAATATAGTCGTAGCCACTCCCCTAAACTCTGCATCTAAGCTCAAACAAGACAAAAGTCGCATTTAAAGTTTCTTTCAGGCGACTCTACTTGGGGGGGGGGGGGGGGGGGGGCTCTGCAGACTAAAGGTAGAGCCTACTTCTATAATAGTTTCCTACTTTTGGCCGATAAATCTCACTTACGCAGACGGTGTTTCATTTAGATTTTTTTTCCGGGGATGGCACACTTGAAAATGATGTGCAGTGGAAAATAAATTTCTCTGAGGCAGTGGAGGCCGACACTGGTAAAAGTATATATTTTCCATTTAAATTATATTTCGTTTGGGGTGGGGGGGGGATGTTAGACGTTCTGCCGGGATAGGGGTGTATTGGCCCCTACCCGATGAGATGCATGAGAGAAACTCTGCACGCAAACCGCTTCTAAGAATCCTAATTTATAAAAGCCCAATGTGCGCACATCTCTCTCTCTCTCTCTCTCTTTCTCTGTCCGCAAAAAATTTTCGCCGGACATCACGTCAGAATCGGCAGCGATATATCGAGAATTTTTTACGGACTTTTGTTGAAAATAATATGTTAGATGTTTTAAATGTATAACCACAATTTTATTTAAAGAAGAAAAATAAAAATTTAAGGCGTATTCGAATGTAGAGAAACAGTATTATTTATGCAACCGGAAAAGCATTAATATATGTGAAAAAGAACGCATAAAACTGTGACGTCACTATTGCTTATACATTAACTAATGACGTCATCTGCCGTGTTTAGAATGAAAAGAAATGAACTATTTCATTCAAATTTGATTTAGATCTACGTACACTATGAAATGTATACAATACAATTTTTCCGGCCTAAACTCATAAAATTTATTTTATGTATTTGGATTCTAGATCTAGAGATTCTAGATCTAGACTAAATCTAAATCTACGCAATAACTAGATCTAGACGTAGACGCTAAGATCTAGATTTAGACTCTAACTTCTCTAAAATCAATTCCAAAAATAAATTTCTATATTAGGACTAAACTATTTCAAGACTTATTTATTTTATACAAAATCTTTGTTTGGAACTGGCTAATTTGGGATAAAAAATTAATTTGAAAGAATAGGCATATTCGCGTAAGTTAAGATTTTAAAATACGTGTTTCATTCACCGTATTTTATAAGGTGCCTAAATAGCGGAGATGTTAGTGTACATTAAACCACGCAGGTGGTGCGGGTTCGAGACACAGCAAGTCAACTTGGTTAATGTGTTCTTTTTTATTATGCTCGGGCTAAACTTTAAAAAAAAATTCTTTGTCGGGTGTCCGATAGGGCACTTCCCGGCGCCGCAGGCGCTTCAAATTTGGCATGATCTTGCCTTGGTGCGACAGAACACGGGGGCCGGTTGGCCGAAAAGTCTACGATGTGGGGGTCAAAACTGACCTCGACTGACCGGTACCTTATATGAGCTATAAATCGAAAAAAAATGTCCACGGAGGAACCTCTTCATAACTCCTGAGGTCGTAGACCGACCTTCGGGCGAATTAATTAAGCATTCAAATTCTCAATGTTTTCGAAAGCCTAAGCGAAGCTGGGCAGCATGCCTAGTAGAAAATAATGGCTTATTGATTCGTTGTTTACCCGAGAGTCAATGACGTCATTTTATTGTGTGCACTTTCCCCTTCTTTAGAAAGTTTCCTACTATATGTTCCATGTGACGTCACGTTTCGTTTTCCTAATTACCGTGTTTTAACTTTGCTTGTGTTTTCCCAACAGATAGAGCGACAGAGTGACAAACAGCGAAATTATTATTATACATAAAACTACGGGTTGGGGGGGGGGGGGGGGGCATATCGGGATATATACATAATTTTTAATCCATTTTTTATTACTTAAACTTTTAAAATTAAAATAGAATCTCGTAGCAAAAATAATTGCGCACCAAGTGAACGGCAAACACTATGTGTATAATAGTGCGAAATGTTATTAGTACTTTAAAAAATGTATATACGTTTTTTGATAAATCGTAAATAGCGTAAATTGCTACTTTCTGTCAACGGAAATTACTTAAAATCTGACAAAAGGCAGAAAATTAGATCTTTTACACTTTTACATATATGTGAAATGTTGTTTATATTTCTGAAACAATACTCAAGTCATAGGCTTTTGAAAAACTTAAACAAGAATAAGTTCCACTTCCAGTTATTGGAAATTACTGAAATATGTATACAGAACTACACATTTGATATAATACTTATATATAAAAATTCATAAACCTAGCTGTCATGGTACTCAAGGTCTCGTGTTGACAGACACACACACAAACATACATACACACACAGACATACTGACAGAATTGCAAAGCCCAGTTTTTCCGACTCGATTACGCATACAACACCGAAATTTTGACAAATCTGCATTTATTATTTTTGTCCGATTAAAATAAGTCCCCTATACTGCGTATATGATAAATTACTGAGGTGTAAAACGATGAAAACTATCAATATTTCATGTGATTTGCAGTGTTTCTTCCAGACTTTTTTCTCCGGGGGTGGGGGGGGGGGGGCACTTGACATTTGGGGGGGGGGGGCGGTAGACTTTCTTCAGGAGGGCGGACACTGCTAAAAGTATATATTTTCTATATAAATTATATACATTTCATTTCGTTTGGGGGGGGGGGAGGGAACGGTAGAATTTTTTCGGGGGGCTGTGCCCCCCCCCCCCCCCCGAAGAGATGCTTGGAAGAAATTCTGGTGATTTGTGTGCACAATTACAAAACTTCCTTTATACTCTGTATACGGGAAAGTACAAATTAATTATTTGTATTTTCATTTAAAACTTGAGACTAGTTTTAAATTTGTAATATCAGTCGTTAAGTAAATAAAAAAAACGCTGATGGAAACAAAGGGCGTGACTTACGATGCATTCCCCTGGGGTAGTGCTTGGTGGGGCGGGGTCGGTGTAAAACTCCGGGGTCACTGCTGCAGTAGATGTAGGGATCTCTGGGGTCAGGTATTCTGGTGGAAGACAGTACGAGTATCAGTTCTTTGGCTATCTGCCTGGTACAGTTTTGTTATAGATAACTAAGCTTTATCTCGTAAGTACCAGTTAATTAAAACATTGTCAATGGATTAGATGAAATATATAGTGTATAATTATTTTTGTGCGGGAATGAATTTTTAAAGTTGAGTGTACGCAGGGACATAGAAAATACTCAATCTTACGAGACAGACTGGAGAGTTTCTGGTTTGTGAAACAACTCACCTGTAGTCTACATACTGGTGAGTGGGGTGGGAGGGGGTGGGGTTTAGGGGATGGTAGCCAAAGAACAGAGACCTACGTAAGTAGGGGAGGGTGTGTCGGTAGACTATCAACAAAATTAATCAACGAAAGTCGAGTTATCAATTTATTTCACTTTCTCCGACACTCAAATGCTTGTATGTAACAGATTTCTGGTAGGTTTGTAATGATTGTTCGAAATCGGTACTTATACGTTGGTTTAAATGGTACTGCTACAGTGAATCTAAAACAAATACTTAATTGTAAACCTTGCCCTAACAGCAAAAAAAGATGTTAACCTTGATTCAAATTTAGCTTTAAAATTTATCACAACACTCACGGTTATCTTAAGCATGCGTATTTTAAAACAAAAACCTAAACATACACTCAAACTTAATTCTAAGTCTCTTCCAAACTTTATATATCTATCTATTAACTAAACACACACCTCCAACTAATACTCTATCTTTCCCGATCAAATGAAAAAAAAATATCTAATTGATGTTAGAAGTAAAGTTAGAACGCGGCAATAATACTCACCATCAGGACACACACTCATGTGTACACAACTTACCATCAGGACACACTCATGTGTACACAACTCACCATCAGGACACAAACTCATGTGTACACAACTCACCATCAGGACACACACTCATGTGTACACAACTCACCATCAGGACACACACTCATGTGTACACAACTCACCATCAGGACACACACTCATGTGTACACAACTCACCATCAGGACACACACTCATGTGTACACAACTCACCATCAGGACACACACTTATTTGTACACAACTCACCATCAGGACACACACTCATGTGTACACAACTCACCATCAGACACACACTCATGTGTACACAACTCACCATCAGGACATACACCACAACATTGACCTGGTTGACGTACAGGGTCAGGACAAGATGGCCGCGCGCAGTCCATGTACACACACTCGTACTGTCCGTTGGTACATTGACAAAACTGGCAGGCATCGGTTAGACTGGGGTTCTCTTCTGCCTGTACAACGGATGGTATGTGAACAAGGTCAAGGTCAAGGTCACACTTAGGTGATAGTTCATCTCTACATTATCATGTCAAGTCTATGTTCAGTTGATAGTTCAACTCTACATTATCATGTCAAGTCTATGTTCAGTTGATAGTTCAACTCTACATTATCATGTTAAGTCTACATTTAGTTATTTCATTAAACTCTACATATTATGTCAATGCTACATTTATTCGATAATTCAAGTTTACATGATCATGTCAAGCAGGGGCGGAACTACAGTGCCGCCAGACCCCGCAATGCGGGGGGACGCACGACGTTTAGGGGCCCAATTCCGACCAAAAAACAATGAATTTTCTTTTCATAAATAATATTTTTCGCGCACCTTGATAGTGGTTTTGTAAAAAAAAAACATGTCTACTATGGCAGTGATTGTTCTACACTAACTAACACACACTGTTGCGTAGAAAAAGTATAAAATCTACAAGAGCTGTAGTTTGAAAGATAGGCAAACGTTCACACTACTTCCATGACTTACTGCCCTTCTTTAAAATAAGGGTGCCCATAAAGCTTATTTAAATAGTTTTGTACTATGTAAGTTAAAAAGCAATTTATTCTCTTAATTATTATCTAAATAAGGCATACTAAAGAATTCTAAACGTATAAAAATGAATGTATTCAAAACTAATAATATAAATACAAAATAATCATAAAAATAAACATAACGCGAGAAACCATTGTACAAATCAAGCGTACGTGTTTATATAGATTTGACCAGCTTGAATAATTACTTTTATTATCAATTTGCGGGAAGATGTAATAGAAACATTTGTAAAACAGGGATTATTGCGGGCCCGAAATTAGTTCGGACTTATTGTTGTCTGGTTCGTTATCTCAGAGTGGTTATACATTGCAATAAAATAGATTAAAATACTCAGGTAATAGACTATTTAAAAATTAGAGAAGCACGCTACTATATATATATATATATATATATATATATATATATATATATATATATATATATATATATATATATATATATATATATATATATATATCTAATATATAAAGCTCAATTCTGTAACGCATATGTTTGTTTGTCGCTGGTTATCAATGGATTTAAGTGTTAGAAAATTATCGTGCGCGTTTGTCTAAATTTATGAGTTAAAAAATTACTATTGAAAGTGTTGGGAAATAATTTTCATTTTTCAAATTATAGTAATAATTGTCGGCATGTTCAGTAAACACAAGTTTTAAAAAAAATATCATCTTTTACAAAAATTCTAATTATGTCTTTATTTAGTCCTATAGCGCTTACTTCCCTTTGATAAATTAGGCAAAACACAATTACTTCCCTTTATGAAACCATTGCATTAGTTGAAAAGCATTTACTTTTTAATTACTTTGTTTTGGTGTTGGGAAAAAAATAATTACATAATTAGCGGGGATTGATCAAGTGCAAATGTTGTAGGTATTTTACGGATAAGCTTGGAGTATTATAATTGTTCGTTACATTGAAACAGGCGCGTTCGTTTAAGTGAGTGCAAAAACTATGAATAAGTTGGGGTACTATAGTCGTTCATTAAGCTAAAACAGGCGATTCTGCCCCGGGCGTTTATGTTCGCGTTAGTGTTTTCTTTGTGTTTAGGTGGGTTTGCGTTAGTGGTTGCGTTTTGATTTGGTTCGTTTTTGTTCTTTCTTTTTTCGTTTTTGTTTGTGTTTTTTTTGTTTGGGTTTGTATTTGTGTTTTTGGTTGGTTTTGCGTTTGGATTTGGTTTGTTTTCGTTTGCTTTTTCGTTGTTTTTTTTTTGGTATTGGTGTTTGTGGTTGGGTTTGTTGTTAGGTTTTCGTTTTCGTTTGTTTTTTCTTTGTGTTTGTATTGGTGTTTGTGGTTGTGGTTGGGTTTGTTGCTAGGTTTTTGTTTTCGTTTGTATTTGTAATTGTGTTAGCGTTATGTTTGCGTTTTGTTGTTTTGGTTTTGGTTGGTCGTGGTTTGGGTGAGCAATGCCGGGTTTATGATGATTACTAAACACACAGGTAATGGTCTTTAACAGAAAGGTTTTTCACAGAAGCCAGAGCAGGGCCTGGCCGGGACGGCTAGTATATATATATATATATATATATATATATATATATATATATATATATATATATATATATATATATATATATACATATAGGGGGGCCCAAAATTTTTATTTGCGGGGGAGCCTTTTTTTTCTAGTTCCGCCACTGATGTCAAGTCTTCACTAAGTTGATTTTGGAACTGTACAATATCCTGTCAAGTCTGTAACTAGTTTATATTTTAACTTTATTAGATCGTATACATTTTAATTTAAAAAATGTAATAAATATTTGTTATTTATAAACGTAATAAACTGTGAAAGGTTTAAAATAAATCAAGCAAAGGAAGAACAACAAAAAAACAGAATTTAAATGTGTTGCTTTTGACTGTAATCTAAATATTTTGTTTTATTGTGGCGTGCAAATACATTCGAAGCAGAGATTGTGATGCGAGCAAGATCGTAACAGAGCAATAAAAGTATTTTTAAAACATGAAGCAACTGTATTTTAAGTTCTAACTTGAGACTAGTTTAAAATTTTGGATACGAGTCATCAAGAAATTTTAAAAAGTGCTGAATAAAACATGGGGTAGTGACTTACGATACAATCCCCTGGGGTTGTGCTGGGAGGGACGGGGTCGGTGTAAAACTCTGGGGTCACTGCTGCGGTAGATGTAGGGATCTCTGGGGTCAGGTACTCTGGTGGAAGACGGCAAGGGTATCAGTTCTTTGGCTATTTGCACGGTACAGTTTTGCTATAGGTAGCTGAGCTATATATTGTAAGTACCCGTTTCGTACCACACTGTTAAATAGGTTACATGAAACATACGCATCGTGCGTAGTGTTACATTGTAATAATCGGAATGACCAATGGAAGGTATTTATTAAAGCTGAGTGTACTCAGGGATTCTTTGGGTTGGCCTGAAGAGTTTCACGTTAGTCACACAGCTCACATGTAGGTTACATACAGGGGTGGGGTGTGGAGGAGGTAATTGGGGTCAAAGATCGGACGCCTACGTATTTAGGGGTGTGACTATGGTCTGTCAACAATATTAATCGATGAAGGTCGTATTATTGATTCACTTCACATTACCCCGCACACGAACATTGTTGAAAACAAATATTCGGATTGTATGTAACATATTGCTCGTAAGTCTGTCAAAAATGTTCGAAATTAGCACCTTTACGTTGATTCAAATATCACTCTTACTGTCAATCTGAAACTAATATAATATTAACCCGCTCTAAACAGATGCAATTTATAAGTATAACTAAACTTTACGCCAACAGCCAAACAAAATATTAACCCTGTTTCTTTTTACAAACTTTTATTTAACTTGCTTCCTCTGTCTGTAGACATTCGTCATGGATCGAAACTGGCGAGCAAAATTTCGGGGCACTTATAACTGACGTATTCTTTTCAAAGTTGGCATGTACGCCAAGACTTGAAGACAATGCAATATGACATAAATTTGACTTAATTGGATGACAAATTAATGTTTTTGAATTCTAAATTTTACCCTAACCCGAGCGATTTACCTTGACATAGCACATTAACATTAACATACACTTAAAACTAATACTAAATATGTTTCGAACATCTATCTATTCCCAAATCTACACCTAAGCACATACCTAAAGCAACGTTATCTTATCCGAACGACAGGGGAATGATCTTCACATTGATGTCAAAAGCCCACCATAAAAAGCTCCAGCAAATCTTACCTTCGCATTCCACCGAGAGACCGCTCCAGAACCCATTGGTGTATTCACAAGAACACACGCGACCGTCGTCCATGGGAACCTTGGCACCAAATGGGATGACCACATCGTCGACCTGACAGTTAGGACCTAGAGGACAGGACACACTGTTAACATGGCAAGTAGGCCGTACATGTTTTAGAGGACAGGACACACTGTTAACATGGCAAGTAGGACTTACATGTTTTAGAGGACAGGACACACTGTTAACATGGCAAGTAGGACGTTTGTGTTTTATAGGACAGGACATACTGTTAAAAGGCAAGTAGGACGCAAATATTTTAGAGGACAGGACATACTGTTAAACTTAGCTAGATTGTAACCAAAATCATAAGATAGAGCGTGAATATATAACACTCCATCACAACTTTCGCTAATGTACTATATAAATCGTCCAATTACTTAGATAAATATCCCTTTTACATTAATTGAATACCACTTGTATTTTGTAATTAAAAATCGTTGAGTTTGATCACGATTCCGTGAGTTAATGGTAACTGGTCACGTGAGAACTGACCGTCGGGACACTGCATACAGCAGCCGCTGGGCTGGGGATTGACACAGTGGGCTGGCATGCAGAAGCCCATGTAGCAAATCTCCTGACCACTGTAGCAGAAGCACATCTTGCAGGGGTCGTTGGGGTCGGGCCGCATCTCGTACTCCTGAAATGGTCAGCACATATAATGGTCAACACTCTTCATGTGAAATCATAATCAAGATGCACAAGTGAAAGCGGTATTTAGAAAATCAATAGGAATGACTTTAAAGCTTTCTAGAAGAAAGTTAAGTAGTTCCCTACAACAGTAGCCAGTGGCAAATCTATCTAAAGTTGAAGTAGCAACACTTTGCCAGTTGCTAAACAAGGTGGGTTTACGACAAAGATTGAGATTTTACATGCAAGTTTTAATAATCTATTCCGATTTCGTAGAATTTTAAATATTATATATATATATATATATATATATATATATATATATATATATATATATATATATATATATATATATATATATATATATATTTATATATATAATTAAAAAGCATCAAAACAATTTACATACTAACCATTATATTCGGACTACAACACATGAATGATACAAAACATTATGTTGACTGCATTGAAGTAGTTCTATTCAAATTGTTTTACCAAGTGGCAACAGGGGTGAGGTTGGGGGGATATGTTCTATGTAGCTACTTACCGCGCATGCCGGTGTAGACTGTGGTTCTGTTGTCCAGAAGTCTGTTACATATGGTGGTGGTGTTTCTGTTTCTATTACATCTGTTGGTGCTGTATCTGCCCAGATATCTGTCACATATGGTGATGGTGGTGTTGTCATGCTGTCCGAAACACTCCCCTCCCCTTTATCGACATCTGATAGGGGGTCAAACGGGGCACTAATTACAACCCCTAACGTAAAACAAAGTATCCACAAAAACCTCATCATTTTTTTAACAAATCTTCCACATCAAAAATGATTCAGTCTAATACAATGCGATTAACGTTTCCCATTTTATATACCAACAAAATATCGAATATTCATATTTTTTTTATCGATAGGCCCACACCGAATAGCTGTTCAGAATAGATGTCTATATTTACTTTAAAACTGCACAAAATGGAAGAAATCATTCGATACTTGTAACAGCTTGCCTTATAACTTAACCAAAATGTTCTATTGTAACCTATCTAGTGTGTTAACATATAAAGGGAATTATATTTTTTAAATATCTAATTGATCAATTGAAAAAGTAAAATTAAATAAACTAAATTTTCGACTTAAGAGTTAAACAAATAAAACGGGAGTGATCTCCCCTAAACTTTCTCGAATATTCTTATATAACACTACTCAGGATGGCAACTCGGGATATAGTCATGATTTTTAATCCATTTTTAATTAACTTAACTTAAACTTCTAAAAATAGAATAGAATCTCGAAGAAAGAAAAAGAATTGCGCACCAAGTGAACGGCAAACAATATCTGTATAAAAGTACAGGATATTAGTACTTTATAAATTCATATGCGGTTTTTGGTTTTTGTGAAATCAGAAATATCGTAAATTACTACTTTCGGTCAATGGAAATTACTCAAAATTTGACAGATGGCAGTGAATGAGATCTTTTACTTACTATTGACATTTCATTTTTCTATCTGAAATAGCACTCAAGTTATAGGCTTTTGAAAAATTGAAAGAAGAATCAATTCCACTTCCTTTTACCGGAAATCGCTGAAATGTTTTTTACAGAACTACAAATTTGATATAATACATATATGACATTTCATCAACCTAGCTGTAACTGTACTAAAGTTATAGTGTTCACAGACATACACACACAAGCACAGACATACGGAAACAAATTGCAAAACTATTTTTTTTCCGACTCAGGGAGGTGTAAAACGATTTCGATTTTTTCGCACGCTTACAATACTTGCTCTATACTTTGTATACGAGAAAGTAAAATGGGCGGGGATATTTGGCTGACTAAACTATGTTTGGCTGCAGAGCCGGCGTTAGTAATACGCGGGGCCTAGGGCCAACCATCCGCGCGGGGCCTTTCCATTATATATATATATATATATATATATATATATATATATATATATATATATATATATATATATATATATATATTTAAAGGCCTATATAATGTGATGTACACATAATAACACAAATGTTTTGGAGTTTATAAGCTAATGTCAAACTTTCCACTATAATAACAGATTTTTATCTCACTCATGTATTAACCCAATGTTCGTAGTTTTTTTCCTTTGCTAAGATATTAAATCACTTTTGAGAGTTATGTAATTCATACCAAATCACTTAAGAAAATTTAATCACGTGCCGAATAATTAGGAAAATAAAGTTTACAATACAGCGAACTCGGCCTGATGTATCAAAACAGTATAGACTTCAAAATTTGTTTAGAATTCATACAATATTTTAAAACCAAAAACATTATTGTCTTAATTATTGAACGGGTGAATCCTTAAGGTGACACAACATAACAACAGTTTTAACTTTCTTCCAAAAAATAATAATAAATCACTCTGTTTAATGCCGCCTGATATAGATCCTAAGGTGCCCCCCCCCTCGTCGCCCTCCTCCCACCCCTCTGCACGCAACTGAATGTTAATTTTGTTATACCGGCCTACTTATAGAGTTTCTTCCAGGCATCTCTTCGGGGCAAGCCCCCCCCCCCCCCGAAGAAAATCTACCGCCCCCTCCCCGAAAATTTCAAGTGCCCCTCCCCCCCCCCCCCCCCGGAGAAAAAAGTCTGGAAGAAACACTGTACATATACGACATTATACGACATCTACAACAAGAAAATCAGGACTAGAGTTCATCAGGTCACTAACTGTCTACTACAGACATCCCGTCTGCTCACTAAAAGGACGTCTTCATGGGTCCGCATACAATAGGGTATCTCTTTACGTCGTGGGCTAATTCTCGACCGCCATCTCCAGTCAGCTCAGGTCAAATGCCAGGCGACCGTACCCTACACAAAGGGGAGGTGTAACACTATTTTTGTATCGAATTACGGCCTGTCCCAGTTCAGGTGGGACTCACCAACATCAACCGTGGCCTCAGTTATAACAATCAACAACGTCGGCATTCGACCTTTTAGTTTTTCCCAATTGAATTCAGCAACCATTTTTTTTTAAGTTTACGAACTAATTCAGATAACAATGACATTGCTGAAGCGCGGGGCCCCTTCAAGCGCGGGGCCTATGGCGACCGCCCCGTTCGCCACCCCCTAACGCCGGCTCTGTTTGGCTGTGAAGGTGGCTGCTCATAATGTAGACTACCCACGTCATTTGAGAACTAGGGTAATGTTAACTCTCCTCCATCTGCTCTGGTTATATTCAAGCTTGAAACAGTAGATTTAAAAAACTAAATTCTAGTAATAGGTTTGAAAGGCTGGTTCCTAGTGGCTCCTAAAGTTTGTTGCCAAAAAAAATATTTTACAACCAAAATTGAATATTTTATTACATCTGAGATGTAAGTTCAAAACGATTTCCGGTTTTACTAAGGCTAGAAATGGTTTAGTAGAATCAGGGTGTTGTGGTGATAGGAGATGTTATATTATTTAATACAAATAAACTACTAGGCTATATCCCATCGACGGCTATTGTGCATTTTGTCATGGAAAACAATTGCTTCGACTTTCATTGTTTTACTTTCCCTGGCCACTCCGGTTGACTTCAAGTAAGGATTGAAGGCGGTTTGTTTTACATTTAAATTGATAAAATAATACTAAACTGCTTTTCAACGCCTGATATTCAATACAAAAAATATGAAAATAAGTGCAATCGATGGTTCCCAAACGGCTTTAAATTTTGAAAAATGTAATTATAATTGAATCGCTTGCCATATATTTTTAAAGATTAAAAAAAATGTAGAATGATTACATAGACTTTTCAAGCCTATTGTAACTTTAATGGGGGAAAAAACCATTTAAATGCTCTTTAGATTGTCAAGACTGAAGAAATCGACTTAAAACAGTTTAAATTTTGTTAACAACAAAGAAAATTCCTGTATTGTATGTATATAGTTGACCCTTATTTTGTTGACTTGAGTTTTTTACAGCGACAGCTTGGATTATACAGTCATCGAATGTCTCACGTGACAGCCTTCTTGGAGTCTATTGGCTGAAACTGTCTGATCAATGGACAAACAATCTATTGGCTTATGACGCTGATCGATGGAAAAATAAATTAAAATTGATCTTATGTCACAATAACCTCTGCTATTTGTTATAACCACATCGCTTGACGTCAGTAGAGTAAACTAATATTCAGTTTTTGTCATTGTTTTATTGGCAAGGGAAGAACTTTGTCGTATATTACACGTCACCAGAGTGCTAGTCACTAAACAAATTCTGTAAGTGTAACTAGCAGACCTATGGCATTTATGATGACAAGTATTACACATTTCACATATTCCTCTTCCATAACTAGAAGACCTATGGCATTTATGATGACAAGTATTACACATTTCACATATTCCTCTTCCATAACTAGAAGACCTATGGCATTTATCATGACAAGTATTACACATTTCACATATTCCTCTTGCATAACTAGCAGACCTATGATATTTCTCTTGCCTAATAATAACAACACTTCCCAAATGTCACTTAAATAAATAACAGGGATTTGATAAACCTCTTGCCTAATATAAATAGTTCTCACATTTTTTTACCATAATTAGCATATCTTTTTTAGATTTCGTGCAAAGTTAACCTTCCTACAAAATTCCTCTTGCATAATAGGGCTGGTAAGTAGGTCACCAACAAGTTTTATGGCTCATGAAGGTTTAATTGAGCCGTAGAGCTGGCTGGTGACCTACTTACCAGCCCTATTATCATACCTATTATTACTCTTAGGCTTACGGCCTTTGCCTTGGATACTTGATTTTCTAAATTTTTAATCTTAGCCCTTGACCCATGTATAGGTGAGTTTACCAGCGCTTCAGCTACTGATGTTTACAAACGCTAATGCTACTGATATTCTCACTCTCATAGACTTAAACGCATGAAGTCATGCGTTAATTAAATTTAAAAATTAATTAGCTAGGTTGATTTGTATTTTCAAACAATTAAAAAAAATAACGCCTTTAGGTGAAATAGCGTCATTAGATCACTATGTTAAATTTAATTAGTGGATTAGTGATGAGATAGTTTGTCCTGTGGTTTTATTATCCTGAGCTGTTTCATTATATAAAGATAGCTAATAAACTAAATATGTTTTTAGACATCTTGATTAAATTTTAAATGTGCTATTTTTTAACTCATTGTTAGGTTCCGTACGTTTAACGTATTGTGGCATCTATATGACACAATTTTGCAAGCATACGATATTATACGATATCAGCTATATGACGATATTCTAATATGGCATATGCTGAATTACATTATTTGCCAGATGACATATTTTACAGCTTTATGACATTGTTGAACGCTTTAAGACATCTTGTTAGTCAAATGTATTGTTAATGACATGTCGTCAATTTTACTATTAGAAATATCAGGGTTAACGAAATATTAATCTAATCCATTGACACATTTTATCTTGAATACTTTCACGTCAGACGCTGAGTTTTTCAAGATAAAATGTATTACAATAACGGGTGCAGTGTGGTGTTGTGTGATGTTATGTGGTGTGGTGTGGCGTGATGTGATGTGGTGTGGTGTTATGTCAGACAGGAACTGAAGTACTAAGTGCTAGAAATTTTGAAGTGCTTGAGGGTTAAATGCTTGACAGTGTGTAAAGCATTACATGAAAGTTCTTGGTACAAAATGTTTTGAACTAGTTAGTGTACTGTGTGTTGTATGATGTAGCCCATAGTTAGTGTGCTGTGTGTTGTATGATATAGCCCATAGTTAGTGTACTGTGTGTTGTATGATATAGCCCATAGTTAGTGTACTGTGTGTTGTATGATATAGCCCATAGTGTACTGTGTGTTGTATGATATAGCCCATAGTTAGTGTGCTGTGTGTTGTATGATATAGCCCATAGTTAATGTACTGTGTGTTGTATGATATAGCCCATAGTTAGTGTACTGTGTGTTGTATGATATAGCCCATAGTGTACTGTGTGTTGTATGATATAGCCCATAGTTAGTGTGCTGTGTGTTGTATGATATAGCCCATAGTTAATGTACTGTGTGTTCTATGATGTTGGATTTGTCTCTGGTAGATGGGTTGATGTCCTCATCTGCCCGAGGGTTCGAACTCGTGATTTTTCGGTTTAGCAACCATGAGCTTTACCGGGTCGACCACGCCAGTTCTCAGTAACACCACATAACTGGCGTGACGACTGGTCTAGACAACATAACACTCTATTTTACTCACTGTCAGTGAATAAATTATGGGTGAACCATCTAAATCACATCATCCCAAGCATATCAAGCAGACAGTTCAACCAGTAACAAAACGAATTGCTTTAACATTGGTTTATTGAATGATCAATTGCTGACTTGAAGGCCGTCTAGAGCACACAGCTGAATGCGTCTTCTGAATCACAGTCGCATAAATGCTGCCTAGAGCATACACCTGAATGCGTATACTGACTCACATTCGCAGAACATGCCTTCTCCGTAGTTGTGGCTCTCACCCACGGGGATAAAGACGCCAAATAAGTTACAGCCGGCTGAAAAGGAAGTGATTAAGTATGCATGATGTGTGTGTGTTTGATATATGTATATATTGAAATTTTTTTAGAAATGTATGCATTTATTTACATCATCATCATCTTTACCCGTTCGTGCCCAAGAAACAAGGGGCATGAGATAAAGTAGAGTTCAACTGCTTTAGAGACCTCGGCAAGAGATATTGTGGTCAGCACTATTTACTCTCCCCAACGTGAGTTAGGTACCCATTAGAGCTGGATGGACTCAGAGACGTTCTACTGACATAAACTTTGATTCGAAATCGGATTAAGAGTTTAGTTCTCTACCGCTAGGCCACACCGTCCCACTGATTACATATATAATTACATATATAATTACATATATAATTACATATATAATTACATATATAATTACATATATAATTACATATATAATTACATATATAATTACATATATAATTACAAAAAAAGACTCTATGGTTAAAAAGATCCCCATAAATTTTTACCCGCTCCTAGATTTTAAAGTTATTCAACATTTTTATGTACATAAATATATCAATAAGAATCACAGTTCCGAATACTGCCTTGCTAAAAACGAATCAGTAGATGAATAAACGCGGTAGGACATGGTCGGGGTACAGCTAGTACAACCAATATAAGGTTTGGAGAGATGTGTTGACAACCTTAGGTGTTTTAGAGAATAGTGGGTTGACAGTCCAATGTGTTTTAGAGAATAGTGTTGACAACCCTGGGTGTTTTAGAGAGATGTGTTGACAACCTTAGGTGTTTTAGAGAATACTGGGTTGACAGCCAAAGGTGTTTTAGAGAATACTGGGTTGACAGCCAAAGGTGTTTTAGAGAATACTGGGTTGACAGCCAAAGGTGTTTTAGAGAATACTGGGTTGACAGCCCAAGGTGTTTTAGAGAATAGTATTGACAACTCTGGGTGTTTTAGAGAATAGTGTTGACAGCCCTGGGTGTTTTAGAGAATAGTGTTGACAGCCCTGGGTGTTTTAGAGAATAGTGGGTTGACAACCTTAAACACCTCTGCGATATGTGTAATGCAATTCGACTAGATATCTGTACAACGCCCACAGTCACCTAGATATCTGTGCAACAGCTTAAGACAATCCTAAGAATTGTGCTAAAGCCCTAGGCATTGTCCAGATATGTCCAGGCAGATCTAGGCATCTTAGAGATTTCAGGTTACTGCCATAGGCGGCCCTCGGCTGTGTGAAGTAGGGTAAGAAAAGCGTGCTTACCTGGGCAGGTTTTGCAGCAAGCACCTTCCTCCTGGACTGGCTCGGTACATGGCACTTCAGGGCAGACGACATTCTGGTGTATGATTGTAGGGGTAGAGATGGGGGTCAGTTAGATCAGATAGGATGACAGACATCAAATGTTGAGGTAGAGATGGGGGTCAGACAGGAAGACAGACATCAAATGTTGAGGTAAAGATGGGGGTCAGTTTGATGAGACAGGAAGACAGACATCAAATGTTGAGGTAGAAATGGGGGTCAGACAGGAAGACAGACATCAAATGTTGAGGTAAAGATGGGGGTCAGTTTGATGAGACAGGAAGACAGACATCAAATGTTGAGGTAGAAATGGGGGTCAGACAGGAAGACAGACATCAAATGTTGAGGTAAAGATGGGGGTCATAGAGGAAGACAGACATCAAATGTTGAGGTAAAGATGGGGGTCAGACAGGAAGACAGACATCAAATGTTGAGGTAAAGATGGGGGTCATAGAGGAAGACAGACATCAAATGTTGAGGTAAAGATGGGGGTCATAGAGGAAGACAGACATCAAATGTTGAGGTAGAGATGGGGGTCATAGAGGAAGACAGACATCAAATGTTGAGGTAGAGATGGGGGTCATAGAGGAAGACAGACATCAAATGTTGAGGTAGAGATGGGGGTCATAGAGGAAGACAGACATCAAATGTTGAGGTAGAGATGGGGGTCATAGAGGAAGAGAGACATCAAATGTTGATGTAGGTAACTGATACCCATATCATGGGTTTATATAGCTTTTATAAACACCGTTAGCTTAAGTGTTATTCATGCCCAAACAAAAAAATCTGAACTTAAATTAATCAACCTTTGATATTTGAAGCTAGTTATGGACCAGGTGTGGCCATAAAATTAGATGCATGGTTATTCAAAGATTTCGGTTTTTTTCCACAACAATAAAATTAGCTTTGATTAAAATATATTTGATTTTCTTTATTTAGCGTTTTTATTACACGTCATGGCTAAAGGATTATCGCAGGGATTGAGGCAATAACGAACGTAAGAGAAAGCAGATTAAAGACGTGATTGGCGTGGTGGTCCATAATTTAATTAATGTATTGAAATGAAAAATAGATTTTATTTTTTACATCGTTTAACTGTACTGTTTTTGTATACCAGATTTTTCTTGGGTAACAATGATTTTTTTCGTTGGTTTAATTGTTGGCTCGTGGGTTGGTGTGGTGTGGTGTGGTGAGTGTGATGTGATGTGGTGTGGTGAGTGTGGTGTGATGTGGTGTGATGTAAGACAGGAAGTGAAAAAGAAGAAATTGTGAAGTGCTTGAGGGTTAAATGCTTGACAGTGTGTAAAGCATTACATAAGTTCTAGCTACACAATGTAGTGTACTGCCCAAAGGTTCGAACTCGTGACTTTTCGGATTAGCAACCATGAGCTTTACCGGGTCAGTTCTCCATAGACCACTTAATGCCTGACCAATTGCGTGACGACTCTTCTAGACAACATAACGCTCTATTGTACTCACTGCCAGTGACTAAATTAAGAGTGAACCATCTACATCACATCATTCCAAACATATCAAACATACACTTCAACCAGTAAAAAAAACGATTTGCTTTAACATTGGTTTATTGCATCATTATTGAATCGGTTTATTGAAGACCGCCTATAACACACAGCTGAATGCATCTTCTGACTCACAGTCGCAGTACATGCCGTCTTCGAAGTAGTGTCTCTCTCCAACGGGGATAAAGGCGTCAAATATGTTACAGCCGGCTGAAAAGGAAGTGATTAAAAGTCCAACGTCTAGAGTTAAAAGCCCTATGATTTCCATATATATATATATATATATATATATATATATATATATATATATATGTGTGTGTGTGTGTGTGTGTGTGTGTGTGTGTGTGTTTGACATATGTATATATTGAATTTTTTTTAGAAATGTATGCATGTATTTACATCATCTTCATCTTTTCCCATTCGTGCCCAAGTTACATTGGGCATGAGATGAAGTAGAGGTTAACTGGTTCAGTGACCTCGGCATATGAACAGATAGTGTGGTCAGCACTATGACAAGCCACCTTTACTTTCCGTGAGTTAGGTAACCACCAGAGCTGGATGGGCTCAGGGACGACTACTGACTGGAGCCCGGATTCAAAATCGGGTTAACAGTCTAGCTCTCTACCACTAGGCCACGCCGTCCCAATAAGTACATACATAATTACGAAAAAAAAACACTTTGAAATTAAAATGATCCAAATAAACTTTAAGGTTATTCGACATTATATATGTAACTAGCGAGCCCGTCCCCTAGACATTTTTAAGATATGTGCAGGCAGCGCTAGGCATCGTAGGGATTTCAGGTTACTGCCGTAGGCAGCCACCAGCTGTATTAAGTAGAGTAAGAAGAGCGTGCTTACCTGGGCAGGTTTTGCAGCAAGCACCTTCCTCCTGGACTGGCTCGGTACATGGCACTTCAGGGCAGACGACATTCTGGTGTGTGATTGTAGGGGGTAGAGATGGGGGTCAGTTAGATGAGACAGGAAGACAGACATCAAATGTTGAGGTTAGAGATGGCGGTCAGACAGACAGACAGACAAACACAATAAAGTAAACCGACACACATAGATGCGCTTCTCTTGAGAAATAAACTTACCGACAAACAAACAGACCCATACATATTAAAAAAACAACAACAGAAAAACAGAGTTCTAAATTAACTATGAAACAAACAATCAAACGAACAAAAAAACCGAGTAACAGACCAACGGGAGAAAACAGATGGAAAAAAGAGACAGTCGAACATATAAACGACAGACAAACAAACAGACAAACAAACAGTCCAATAGACAGCCACATAGGAACATGACACATACGCAGAAACATTTAAAAAAAACAGTTAAAGAAAAACTGACCTCACAATTCTCCTCTGGGTTCGAATCCACAGGTACCGGCCCGGCTGAGCAAGACACCGACCACATGACTACAAGAGCCAAACACGCCATCAGCACAACTCTAGACATGATTTCAGACTACAAACTTCTCCAGAAGTAACAAAATCTAAATCTGCAGCTGTAGGTAACTGAACCCCATATCATGGGTTTATATAGCTTTTTTTTAAACACCGTTAGCTTAAGTGTTATTCATGGCCGAGATTAAAATCTAAACTAAATCAACCTTTGATATTTGAAGCTAGTCATGAACCAGATGTGACCATAAGTTTAGTTGCACGGTTATCCAAAGATTTCGGTTTTTTCCATTACAATAAAATTAGCTTTGATTAAAGTATATTTGATTTTCTTTATTTAGCGTTTTTATTACACGTCATGGTTAAAGGAATATCGCAGGGACTGAGGGAATGACGAACGTAAGAGAAAGCAGATTAAAGACGTGATTGGCGTGGTGGTCAATAATCTAATTAATTTATTCAACATGAAAATTGATTTTTATTTTTACAACGTTTAACTGTACCGTGTACCAGATTTTTCTTGGGTAACAATGATTTTTTTTGTTGGTTTAATTGTTGGCTCGTGGGTTGGTTTGTTGGCTGGTTTGTGAGTTGGTTTATTTGTTGGTTTCTGAAGTGGTTTTCGAGTAGGTGTGTGTGTTTTGTGTGTGTGTGTGTGTTTTTTTTTGTGTGGTTTTGTTTTTGTGTTGTTTAGTTTGTTTTGTGAGCTGTTTCAGTTTGTTGGTTTTTACTTTCTCGAAGTATAGAAAAAGTCTTGTAATCGTGCTAAAAAATAACATGAAATTTTGACAGTTTTCACCGTTTTATTCCTCAGTCCTTCATCACATCCGGAAGATAGAGGACTTATTTTAATCAGGCAAAAATTATAAATACAAATATATAAACGTTTTGGCGTTTTATGCGCTATCGAGTCGTAAAAATTCTGTCCGTATGTCTGTGTGTCTGTCTGTGTGTCTGTGTGTAAACACGATAACTCGAGTACCGTTACAGCTAGGTTGATGAAATTTCATATATAAGTATTTTATCAAAATCGTAGATCCTGATCAACTTTTGAGCGATTTCCGATAACCGAAAGTGGTACTTTTTCTACTTTGAATTTTTCAAAAGCCTATAAGTTGCGTACTATTTTAGATAGATGCATGAAATTTCACACGTAAGTAAAAGATCTAATTCTCTACCTTCTGTTAAATTTTGAGTAATTTTCGTTGAACGGAAGTACTAATTTACGCTATTTCCGATTTCTCAAAAAGGTTCAATTGGTGTGCAATTCTTTTGTCTACGAGATTTTATTCTATTTTTAAAAAAAGTTTAAGTATTTAAAATGGATTAAAAGTCATGTCTATATCCCGATTTGCCATTCCCTGTTGTTTCATTTAAGAATATTCGAGAAAGTTTAGGGGAGATCACTCCCGGTTTATTTAAATCACATGTTTTATTAACACAGTGTTTTTACTGTGAAGGAATGTATTCATACCACAGCAATCTATATCTATCTTTACCACATGCTTAAATGAATAGAAAACACATTATATTATGAAGTATTTATTGAATCCTCAAATGGTGACTTGAGCCGACTAGTCAACGCAGCTGAATTCATCCACCGCATCACAATGGCAGTGCATGCCGCTTTTGAAGTAGTGCCTCTGTCCCACAGGAATAAAGACGTCAAAGATCGTACAGCCGGCTGAAAAATAAGCAATGGGCCAGGTAACACATCAACACATAACACACAACACGACAACACATAACACACGTGAATGTATGGGTTAGCTATTTGGTTTGAGAAAAACAATTGGCGCTAACGAGGGAGGGTAGGTGGGGAGAGTTGAAATTATTGAAATAGCTACTAACTGTTGTCAGTATTAATAATTAAGTTGAGTTATTAATCCGAGTTTATATATATATATATATATATATATATATATATATATATATATATATATATATATATATATATATATATATATATATATATATATATATATATATATATATATATATATATATATATATATATATATATATATATATATATGTATATATATATATGTAACGAGACTATTTGCCTGTAGTGCCAAATGTTAACGAGTTCTGCTCGACAACGCCAAATGTTACCGAGTCTAACCACTCATTCTACACAACATCGACCACAGTATAGATACTCGAAGATGCAGGTTCGCTATTGATCCTTTTATTACATGAATCAAAGAAATGCTTCACAATAATATAATAAATCAAAAGGAATGCTTCACAATAATAGTCTGAATCAACTGACCCCCAACAGTCCTCACTAGTCTTCACATAACTGAATGCACATGTCTATCGTCCTTCTTAACACAATACGGCTAACCCGTTCAATAACCAACTTGATACTGCCACACTGACTGACTGATCGAGAGAGAGAGACCAGAGAGCCAGCGAGCTCAGCCGTCGCCTTCCTATATCCCCTTCGTATTCGTAATCGTATTCGGTTCTATCATAATCGTAATCGTAATCGATTCTAATCGTTGCATCAGAATGTTAATTACGCCGCTTCTGTCGTACAGTCCGATTTAATAAGCCATCTGCATCCTGTCACATCAAAGTTGACAGACCGTATTGCGTTCTTATCGTATCGCTTCCCAAGATACTACGCCTTGGCTTTCTGATCGTTATCAGCCAACACCTGCGTTATTGCATCAGTCGTGTCAAATTTGACAGCGCTGTACTGCGTTCTTATGTCTCTGGTAACTTCCCCTAGTTACATATATATAAATATAAATATATATATATATAGGCCTATATGTATGTATGTATGTATTTTTTAAATGTTAATATCCAGGTGTGTTGGTGTTAATGTGTTTCTATGAGTTTTCTTATGTTTGAGTTTTACATTGTTGAGTGAGTACAAGAAGAACAATCAGACAATTGGTGTACACAATCACAAAACTGGTGTACACAATCAGACAACTGGTGTACAAGTGTGGTTAGGACCAGATGAGCGATATGTAGCTTGAGAGAAAACATAAGTTTTGCTGATTTCCGCTAGTACCAGCGCTAGTCAGTAGATGGATTTAAATCATAGACTAATGTACGGTAGTCGTTGTTCTGTTACGAAAAGAAATAATTAGAATGTCATGATTGCTTCGAGATTGAAATCCTGGATAAATTAGGCTTGTTAGCTGGGGGATTAGCAGTGTGGCAGGAGAAGCCAAAAAGAAGCTAGACGGGGTAATCCCATCGCCCGTTGTGATAGCAGTACCTAGAAATTTGCTAAATACCTTGGCCACAGGTAAAGACTGCAGGTGAATACCCGAATTACAGGTAGATAACTGGACCACAGGTAAATACTTAGACCACAGGTGAATACCTTGACACCAGGTAAATATCTAGCTCACGTGGAAATACACACACACAACATGTAAATACCTGGTACATATGGTATCACTAGTTTATAGCGTACCTTGCTTTACTTTTGCAGTAAAGAAAATAACTTTTAATTAATAATTAAAAATTAAGGGGACGTTACTCTAAGCCTACCTTAATGTTGACATTATATGTTGTTAATACATCACAGCCCTAACACACAGTTAAATTCCTGGACAAAATGTGAATCCACAGTGGCAATTGACATATATGAATTCACTGACCGCACCAACAGACACACGGAACTCAACGATAAAGACACTGATCACAACAAAATTGGGTCGGCGTGGTCGAGTCTGTAAAGCTCATGGTTGCTAAACCGAAAAGTCTCTAGTTCAAACCCACGGGCAGATGAGGCACGTTAGCTGGGGACAGCCACTCTTCTACGAGATGCAACTCCAAAAAAAGAACAACTGCTGTCTTGTAGTTTTTGTCTTGGTCGGAAAAAGGTTATGAAAGCAAATTCAAAAATAAAAGCAGGCTGAAACCGGAGTCAATTTTCTCAATGGCGCATAACCAGTTGAAATGCATACTTAATTATACTGGAGGAGATCCCTTCCAACACTAAAGTTAAGAGCGAAGAAGACGAAGAACGAGAGATGAATGGACCAAAACACCAGAGACACTGACCACAACACCAAATACCTTGATTCTCATTTGACTTTGATCTTTCTGAAATGTTCGGTACAGGTGAGGCAAGTGACCAGCGTGACGTCACAACAGCGATGACAGCCAGTAGAAGAATAACCTTGTACATTTTGCTAAATCTACTCTAGAAGCTTGGAGAAAATCTACAGTGAAAAACACAGGACTTAAAAGTTGCCGAGATATTTGTAATGTTCTCCAAGTTTCAATCAACATATACCAGCATCAAATTACAGGAATGTGTAATCTTCTACAATTTAAAAAAATAAGTCACATCTTACAAATTGCGAAAATTTAATTATGTAACTATGCAAGCTGTGTCAAGTTTTATGCTGAGCAAATAAAATACTAGTTTGATAATGCTTTATTTGTGGTGGAACAAAACACGAAATGCAGGCTGTTTTCTAATCGATAAAGGATTAGGTAAGTTTTAATTAATAACCTGTTCCTGAATATCAGTTTAGTTTTGTGTATACTCGACTACCGGTTTCTCATTGGAAAACGGTGTGTCTGTTGAATCATTCCAAATCAATCGCTGCAACTTTTTGAAATAGCTAATAGTAAAAAATTTACAAGGTCTAAAAAACCTACCCATTTTAGTCTTCAAATGTTTCACAATTTGCGTATTATTTACCATATACGTTTTTTCTATCAAAACCATCAAAATTTCCTTGTGACAAAAGTTTTATTTTTGCATGATGAACAATTGCTGAAAATATGGTGGGCGTTGTATAATAAAAAAAAATTAGTAGGCTTTTTTGTGTTAAAAACCTACGAACTTAGATAAACAGCCAAATGTAACAAAGAAGTAGGTCACGAAAATATATCTGTGTAACTTCTAAAGCTGATTGTAAGCTTTGGGTGTTTCCGAGATGATGGAAATAAAGATAATTGATATTTGAAGCTATGCATGAACCAGGTGTGACCACACGTTTAGCTGCATGGCTATCCAAAGATCATTTGTTCTTTCCACTACAATAAAATTAGCTTTGATTAAAGCATATTTGATTTTCTGTATTTAGCTTTTTTATAACACGTCATGGCTAAAGGATTATCGCAGGGATTGAGGGAATGACGAACGTAAGAGAAAGCAGATTAAAGACTTGATTG